GTTTTTTTGTTTGTTTTACTAAGATACCTTACATGCGTAACATGGCCATTTTGTTCAAGGCAACCAAGTGGAGTAACCCTAGGGGTGTTTGTGTGCAAGTGTGTCATTTTCATGCTTGATTTTGTCTTGAATTAGGGTTTTCTATTTGATTGGTTTTATCTTGCCATACAAACCCTAATTATTAACATGTTATATATAAAGCGATAAATTGCGAAAAGTAAATATCCTACGCTATTAAAATCATTTGGGGATGGGGTGTATAAATTTACAAATGGGGATTGCAAGAAATTAAAGTCCTAATTATCTATTACAACCATATTGAATAGCCATGAAGAAAATATATGAAGCATATAGAAATAAAAAAAACATTTTGGATCATTATGTGTCGACACATGCCGTAAAATCAAGCTCCTCGAATGTACTTTGGTTTTGATGAAGACAAATCATGATTGATAAAGAAGGCAAAAATTGTTGATCAAGCTAAAATCCTCTTTGGATGAAGTCTTTGGTTCAATCCGTTAGCAAATTTCAAAGTATGATAATACTTATCTTGAACTTAAGATATAAATGCTCAAAGGTCAAAAGGAAACATTTTATATTGCCCAACCCTTTATCCAAGTTCTTTAAAAGCAAAAAATCAATTTTTATTTGAGTGCAATCGATTTGCATGTTAGTGCAATCGATTTCACTGCTTCAGTTTTTCAAAACATTGGCTACTGACTTCCAGTGCAATCGATTTGCATGGTTGTGCAATCGATTGCACAGTCAAAAAATCTGGAAATTTGGCTACTGGAACCCCGTGCAATTGATTTGCATGGTTGTGCAATCGATTTCACACTGTATGATTTTGAAAAACAGTTGCCTTACACTTGCCTGTTCATGATGCTATTTCATGGAAAACTTCTCACTCAATCTTGGCAATTGATCATGATTTTTTACAAACCTTTTCTTCAAAGGTCACTGCATTTTAGCCTAAAAAATGAACCAAATTATGATGATTTAAATTAAGAGTTTAAAGTTAAGGAGACTTACCTTGCAACTAGAATTTATGTTTTGAGTTTGAGGCGTTGCTTTGTGGACTGTTATGACCTTCTTTCAGTTATGAGATTTTTGAGAGTTTGTCAACAAAACTTCTGGTTTTTCTTTCTCCCTTTTTCCTCTTCTCTCTCATTTTTTCTAACTCTCTTTCTCTTGCAATTGGCCTCCCTATTTATAGAGAAGGTTTGAGACTTCAAACAACTCAGATTTTTGAATCACATGTTATGGTTATTTTGCTTGTTTTTGAAGCAAACATGAAGGACATGTTTCCAATGCTTGTACCAAGCTATGTAAAGTGGTTGTTTAAACATGTTTGTTCTGACTTGTAGAAGTTGAGTGTGATTAGAACAACAAGTTAGAGGCTCAAGAAATTGACTTTATGATTAAAGTGTACTTTGCAAGAATGACAATGGTGTCTTTGTGCCAAAAATGGAAACATGCATGGACAATACTTGAACTACTTGGATAATGGTTCAATCAATTGTGTAAACATCTGATTATGGATATATTTTCAATTCAAGAGGCATGCAAAGTGAAGATTATGCAGCATGGTTAAGATTTTGTTCCTTGTTCATCACAAATCTGCCTTGTAAATCAATAATGAATGTCCAACTTCAGATCCTTGTATCTTCTAGCTCAAATATGATAAACTCATGCCCTTGGATGTTTTGGAAAGCTTGAAACACCCTCTATAACTTTCATGTTGGCCATTTTGACAAAATCATCTTGTAACTATGTGAAAAAATTCCAAGAAGTTGGGATAAAATCCTGAAAATTTCTCTAAGTGTTTATTCAAAAATGCCATGACTTCATGAATTTATAACTCAAAATCCAAGCATTTCTAGGAGAATTTGTGTAAAGAAATGTTGTAGGTATCATGGAGATATAAAACTTGTATGTTGAAAGTTTCCCTTGAATCATCTTGTATCATGTTGGAAATTTGGCATAAAGTTGTGAAAAAACATGAATTTTCCAACACTTAGAAAAATTTCTAAGTTTGAAATTTTGACTTTTCAAAGATGAAATTTGACTTTTTTGATTTCTTGATGAACAAGTTTCATATTATTGAATGTCTTGATGAAATTTAATCTTTGGAATGTAATGTTGACCAAAAAGTCAAAGCTTGACTTTCCAGTATGCAATTGACCATTTTGCCCTTGGGCCAATTTCAAACCTAAATTGATGTATCACTGCTGCAAACTTGACGTCATAGAAGATCTTATGAGAGAAACTTTGAGAAATGAGAGGGAAAATTTTGGGGTACAACACTTTGCATTTCTGAAATCGTGAGGAAATTTGCTACAACTTTCTTGTTTATATTTTTCATTTTTGTTGAGAATTGAACAAGATACAGAGGCTCTGGCTGGGCGTGAGGTTGAAGATGAAGTTCAGACTATGGACTTGATTATTATCATATATTTATTATTTTGTTTATATAAACAGATGTATAGCCACCCCAGTGGTAGAAGCGCGTGCCTGTGACTATAAGGACCTGGGTTCGAGCCCTAGTGCTACCCTTTTGATTTTTTTTTCATATTTTTCACATTCTGACTTTTCTTTTTTGGCAGCACTGGGCCTCTTTCCTTGGGCTTTATGTTTTTTTTTTCATTTCTCAACCCCTGTTTCACTTACACAACTTTTTTCCCATTTTATTTTCTATTTTTCTTATTTCATTTATTTACTTTCTTTTAATATATTTTACTTAATACAAAAATCATAAAAAAAAAATAGATTTAGGCTTTTATTTAATTAGATTAATATTTTTACATACTTGTATATTATATTCATTTAATTTCTTGTACGTTTATTCAAATTCAATATGGTTGTAATAGATAATTAGACTTTATTTTCATGCAATCCCCATTTATAATTTGTACACCCCCTCCCACAAGTATTGTAATAGCGTAGTAATTTTAAATTCCGCAATTTATCGCTTTATATACAAATGCTAGTAATTAGGGTTTGTATGGAAAGACTAAAACCAATCAATTAGAAAACCCTAATCAAAGACAAAATCAAGCATGGAAACAATACACTCGCACACAAGCACCCTTAGGGTAAAATCCACTTAGTTGCCTTACAAAATGGCCATATTACGCATGTGAGGTATCTTAGCAAAAGCAAGCAAAATATAAGATCATAAGTCCCTCGATGACGCTATCTATGTTGCCTTTCAAATGATCTTAGTCCCTAAAAAAAGAATGCTAAGATACCTTGCAACATTGTTAATCATGGTTATACGATGACCCACGCCCGTCCCGTTTACATCCAAAGATAGGGTTACTTACCAAATCAATGGTAAGATAACAATGTCAAAGGAAAGAGGAAATGTACATGAAAGACTTTTGAGTAGGTAGAATGTTCCTAGTTACTTGCTCATTTTCAAAACAAAACATCCTTGTTATTTTAAAAACAAACACCTACACTTTCAAAACATCTTACAAACTTGAAAACATTTTCAAAATATCAAACACTTTGTATACATTCTTACGAACGATAATCATTACAAAATTTGCCTAAACAATGACACTCTTTACAAAATACTTTCAAAAAACTACACAAAGCACAATTTTAAACAAAAGCAAGTGATCTAGCAAGTAACTAAGAGCCCATGGAAAACCATGGATGAAAAGGGTGCTAATACCTTCCCTTTTCATAATCTATCCCCCGAACTCAAGAAATAATCTCAAAGGTCTTTCCTGTTCTTTTTCACCTTTCCTTTTGGATAAAAGAAAAGTCGGTGGCGACTCTTGCTAACCGCAACATTTGCAATCAAACGCAAAACCTTCAAGTCAGTTCTCCCACTGTATCACAGCAGCGAATGGATGATTCAGTTCAACAACTTTGAGTTGAAGGGATGAAGACTTAAGGGTTGTGTGGAGTACATTTCACATTTATGAAACAAATGGTCTGGATGAAGTGGATTCGGAAATTGCAAGATCGACCAAAGATATTCTAATGATTAGCAAGTGAGAGTACAAGCAAGTGTGAGTATGAGTATGAGAATGAATACCTGACCCTCTCAACTTAGAGGGTATTTATAGCCCCTAGAATTGGGTCAAGGTCCAAATATTGGGTCATGATGAGGCCCAACAATGAGGACTGTCAGGACTTACGTGTGTATGGAGTCCAGTAAGTGGACTCCTCCCTGGTCAACTGCTCCGTGAGAATAAGGGTTGGACCCGTGATTTGCGGAGGACAGTTAAGGTGAAAATGATACGGACACGTGGGCCATGTTCCCCAACGGATGTGTGGGGAGTTTCTCAACGGTCCCTAGCTTAGGCTACTTGTCTTTGGGCCTTATATCAAAGTGTTGGATTGGACCTCCCAATCGTGAGACAAGTGCAGGCCCATATTAATTAAAAGCATACAAAAAGAAACATAACATCAAATACCATCGGCATGAGTTGCCTCGTGAGATTCCTTTTCTTATCCAACATTTACAGTTGTGTTGGCTTGGTTTTATGACAAATCAAAATAGTATGTCCTAGTTCTTCCTAAACAGCTCCAACACTCAGTTATTTTCTCTAAAATGTTGTGGTCGTTTTATAATTAAACATTCATGGCAATGCTCTCAATTATTCTAGAATTTTGATCCATGCACTTCACAAGCACATATAAAAATCATAGAGTACTATTTCTAAGTGATTACTAATTATGAGATATAGAAACTCATATAGAATGTAATTGTGAAGGAAAATGATTGACACACTTAATTGGACACCATTTTTGTTTATAGTCTCATAGAATATTATATAGTATGAACAAATGTTTATACTCAAAATATTCAAAAATATGAAATTTATAATTAAAAATAAATATTATTTTGATGCTTCTTTCTTTATATAGAGGTTAAAATGATAGAAGAATATTTTTCTCATTTCCCCCTCACTTGTTTTCTTTTCATTAGTTGTGCCAACTTCAATGCTATAACGTTCTTCTTAGGGTCAGGGCCCTGGTATTTAGTTTTCAGTACATCTTTGCGCAATATTTCCAAACTCATCTGATCCTTCTTGACCCGAAACAGTAGGAAGTTGTTCTTTTAATGTGTACCTTCTACAAAAAGGAAAAAGATGGTTTAATTATTAAATAATACTTCATCCACTCGTAATTAAATGCAAAAATTTGGACCAAATACATTCTTTGATCCATCTTAGTTTATTAAATAATACTAACATATGAATATATGTCTAACATGTAATAAAACATCATTGAAATCATCTAGGCATGTTCTGATAAAAAAAAAGATAGTAGAATGGATGGCAGACATGGATTACAGGAGCTATAAATATTCTTGGTAACTAACATCTTACATAGTCTCCTCCTAAAGATTACCGTAGTTTCCCCACTAAACATTCATCCAGAAAACACGAAAAAAGTAAGATTACCGTAGTTTTCGACTGAACATCATCTAGAAAACCCGCAAAACAGAATGCATGAAACATGTTCAAAACTAATGGCAGCATTCTCCACCAACACACATCACATGCTTACAAAGATATCAAATCAGTCAACAATCTATATTTAATAGCTCTTTTGATATGCATCAACGGTAAAAACTCATATCAAGTCAATGACACAGAATTTACACTAAAGCTTACATTATGTTTACAATTCTTTCTCGCGCTCCAGGCTTCAATGTGCCTCTCCAATCACCTTAATTCAGTCTCCCATTGGGTAAGTCACAGATGCAAAAACAAATAATAATAATAATAATGATGATGTAATGTCAGAATCCAAATGATTCACGATTCATCAATACGATCACTGTGGCAAAGCTTTTCAATGATTACCTGGATCAAGAGGTTTATTGCTAGGGCCTATTTGATTCCATGTCATATTACTGGCCGAAGAGCAGCCCTGGAGTTTAATCAGACTGAAATTTGAGAATGCGAGAATAAATTGTCAATCTTCAATATGGCATGAGTTTGTGCTAGTAATTAGTTGACGATGCAATCCTTTGTGACCAGAAAAGGGAAGACCAAGACACCTTTTCAATGTGTTCAATCTACAAAAAAAAGAAAAAGAAAACAATGGGTTATTTAATATTTATTGAATAATACTCCCTCAGTTCCAAAGAACCGGCAAACAGAATGTAGAAAACCTCATACTTTAGTTCAAAACTAATGGCAGCATTCTCTACCAAAACACTCTAATTAACAATAAAGCTTACAGTTTATTGACAGTTCTTACACGCGTTCCAGGCTGTAATTTACCTCTCCAATCATCTTGATCCGGCCTCCCATTGGCTAAGCCAGAGAAGCAAAAACAAAAAATAATAATGTAATGTCAGAATCCAACTGATTCATCAATAACACAGGAATAATATTAACAAGAAATATTGAAGAAAAAAAAAGATTGAAGATAGAGGACAAGGACATAGATCATGAAGGACCAGCAAAACATTAAGTGTTAATAATATCTCAAAGCAATAGGTCAAAGTATAGTCACGATAGCTAATGCTGAAACAGTTCAGTGTCTGATACTCTTGAAAAGGTCTTAAATGCGTACTTGGGTCAAGTGGTTCATTGATAGGGCCGACTTGATTTGATGTCATATTGTTGGCCATAGTGCCCTGGGATTTAGTCTCCTTGCTGGACATAGTTCCCTGGGATTCAGCCTCCAGATCCAAAGTCGGTGTTATAGTGTTGGCCATAGTGTATTGGGATTCAGCCTCCATATCCAAAGATGGTGTTATAGTGTTGGCCATAGTGCACTGGGATTCAGTCTCCATATCCAAAGACGGTGTTATAGTGTTGGCCATAGTGCACTGGGATTCAGTCTCCATATCCAAAGACGATGTTATAATGTTGGCCTGGCATTTAATCTCCCATGCAAGCATCCTCAAAGATATTCTCTTTAAATAATCAGACTGAAATTAGATAATGCCACAACAACTTTTCAATCTTCAATATCATATGTGTTTGTGCTAGTACTTATAATTTAATAACCATGTGGCTTCTGATTAGAGATAATACATGGCTTGTTGCAGCAGTAAAAGTCTTGTCTTCAAACCTTTGGGTAAGGTTCTGAAGTTTATGCAATTCCTCTTGACCAGAAACGAGAATATGCTTTTTTATATGTTCCGTTCTACAAAAAATGAAAAAACAATGATTCAATTATTAAATAATACTCCCTGTGTTGGAAATTATTAGAGAAAAATTGGACCAAATACATCAAATGATAGCGTATGACCTCTCATTGAAATCATATGGACAGTAAAGCTTACATTTTGTTGACAATTCCGGCGTGATACAGGGTGCAATTGACATCTCCAATCACCTTGATTCAGTATCCCATTATTGGTATCCATTGAATTTAAACTAACTGAAACAACACAAAATAACAAAAAGGAATTTTCTTATCAAATTATACTCTGAAACTATATAGCATCGATACCTCTTGAAAAAGGCGTGTCCGTGTCAGATTATATTTAATTTATTCATTTCTTAAAATTATCATCAATGTGTCTCTCTGTCAGTGCCAGAGTTTTATTCAGAGGTGTCTGCGATTCATAGGATTATAAAGGATAATATAGAAATGTAAGTTACAGGCTTTTCACAAAATCCCTTTAAAATTTATTGAGGATTTCCATTGATTGTTCATCGCGTTAATCAATTATTTCATGCAACGTCTTTGAATTCAATCAAACCGAATGAAACAAAAATGTGATTACGAGAGAGATAGAGTAACGGAACCTGACGGTGGTAAATGGCGGAGATGGATATTCCGGTGGAGGCGCGAGAAGTGATTTGATTTTATAAAGCGAATTCGACAAATTAAGAAAACAGATTTCTTGCAAAATTCCAATATAATATTTTAGAAATTTCTGCATAAATTTTTTATTAGTATTATATTCAATTATATTTATAAAACTGAAGGATCTACTTCTATTGAGTATTTCTATTAAGTATTTGGGAATATTTATCCTTAAACATTCATTATGTTCATCAAGGTGAAATATTAACAACTTTGAAGAACTTTATACATTTCTATCCATCTTGAATTATATAGATATCTTACTCATAAAAGAATTTTTTTCACAAAACCATACAGCTATAAGAACTAGAGGAAAAAAGTGAAAAAGAAACACAGAGAGAGAGAGTGTATGTGTGTCAATACACATTTAGTCCATTATTTGAATCGAGGAATGAGACCTCAATTTATAATGTTCAAATCCTCCAAAAGAGGAAATGTAATAAATTCATTTTTGACCATTACTAATTTATTAGAGTAATCGATTAAATAATTTAAATGTAACGACTAAATTCTCCAAAAAAGGAAAGAAGAGATATTTAGTCGTTGTTACTCGTTTTGGTACATTCAAACTATCTTTATCTTCAAAAGCACGTCAATCTAATCGATTGGCACTTTGTGTTAATCGATTATATCCAATAAAAAAGGTTTTTATGGCTTTTTGAACGTTCACATACTTTCTAAGCAACGTCTATATATTTCTTCAAAAGTATTTATTTTCAAAATTATTTTATAAAAAGGTTTTAAGTGTGTGTGTGTCTACGTGCGCTTATAGCCAGCCATCTACTTATAAAGAAAGAACTTTTGGGTTTACAAAAGTTTCACTCACTTACTAAATTAGGGTAACTTCTCTAAGCATGTGTCTGATATTTTCATTATGTTTGACATTTGTTTTGAAATCTTTTGAGGCTTTTGATATAGTTTGTTCGTTTTCCTTTGTCTGAACAACCTTTATTGATGTTTGAAGCTTTATTTGAAAACTTTGTCAATCCTTATCAAACTCATGGTTTATATCTTTGACTTCTTAAGTACACTGGCTGACTTTCTTTATATTTGCATATTCATTATGCTTAATATTTGCATATTCATTATGTTGAATATTGTCTTCAAGTTTTCTTAGTAAAGGATAAGAGGACTACACATTGGTCTGCCAACAACTTCTCTAAGAGTTGAAGGCACATATGGAATCATACACATCTCTATAAGGTGAAAAAGAACATTGTGATGCAATTCACTATGCTTTTGTTCTTTGTGACAGCGGTCTGACACCATTTGAAAATGGATGTGATTCCCTTAAATGGGACATCATATAGAAAGTATTTATAATATGGTGTTTATTGATCTTCAAGATATGGTGTAATACGGGTGGAGAACTGACTCGGGTGTTTTACGTTTGATCGCAATTGTTGCGGATAGCAAGAGTCACCATCGACTTTTCTTTTATCCAATAAAGAAATGGTAAAGAGAACAGGAAAGACCTTTGAGATATTTTCTTGAGTTCGGGGTAGGTTATGAAAAGGGAAGGTGTTAGCACCCTTTTCATCTATAGTTATCTACGGTCTCTTAGTTGCTGGATCACTTTGAAAATGCTTTGTTTGAAATGTGTTTGTTGATTTGTGTAAGTTTGAAAATATTTTGAAAACGCATTTTGTTTCAAAAAATTTTGTAATAATTCTCGTCTCTATAAGAATGTATACAAAGTGTTGGTTTTGAAAATAGTTCAAAGAGATGTTTATTTTTTGAAGATGTTTTGAAAGTGTGAGTGTGGAAATGGTTTTAGTTTGTGAGCAAGAAAATACCAGCGTTATACCTACTCAAAAGGTCTTTGTTCTCTTCCTCTTCCTTTAGATATTGCTACCTTACCATTGATTTGGTAAGAAGCCTCATTATCGGATGCGAAGAGACGAGCGTGGGTCGTCGTATAGTCATAGAAGGCAACTTATGATACGCTTTAGCAATTTTCGAAGGGACTAACATCATTTTACCAAAGGCAACGTCGAAGGGTCATCGAGGGACTACGATCTTTTTATCGAGGGTCTTTGCTAAAGCGCCCATATTCGAGGGACATGACTATTTTCTGAGGCAACAAGTGAGGTTACTCTAGAGGTGCTTGTGTGAATTATGTTTCGATTGCATGCATTTTTATCCTTGAGATTAGGATTTTCTAATGGTTGATTTTATCTTGCCATACACACCTTAATTACTCACAATTACATAAAAACAATAAATTTGCGGAAATTAAAATCCTACGCTATTACATCATTAGGGTGATGGGAGTACAATTCACAAATAGGGATGAAGTATGAGCTTAAATATTACAACCATATTGAATAGCTATGAAGAAAATGTAAAAATAGTGTAAAAAGAAAGGAAAAGATATTTTTTAGCCATTATGTGTCGACACATGCATCTATGCATCCACACATAACTTTTACTTGCTCCAGCAAAACCAAATCAAATCAGTATGAGTCAACGCATAATGGAATGTGTCGACTCATTCCTGCTTGTGGCGACACATTCGTGTTTTATGTCGACTCGTGCACCTTTTGTCCTTATGTTTTGGGGTCTGGATAGCAGTATGTGTCGACACATAAGGCCTTGTGTCGGCTGATACCTTGTTTTGTCACTAAAATGAGTCGACTCATGTGAGTATGTGTTGACTCATACTGCAGTTTTTTGCCTTAAACATTGCTCTATTGTATGTACAGGTCAGTTCGCAGCATATGATTGATACAAATGAACAGCAAGTAAATGAGTTAGATTCTAAGGGCAATGATTGCTACATTTTATCTTCGAAAATGAGTCATTAGTGATGTATGAAAAATGCAAGGTCAAGAAGACTTACCTTGAGACTGCACTTGGTGTTTTGAGTCTAAATACTTTTCAAGATGCTGTGATGGCTTCAGTGAATCTCCAAGAAGTTATTCCAAGCTGTTGAACCACACTAACTCAGTCAAGTTATGTTGTACTGTTTTTCTTTTGTGTTTGGAAGATGAAGATAATGGCACTATAGAAACTGTTCTTGTGTTTGAATAACTCTATGTGATGTAAGGTGTTTGGGCTGGTTGGTTTATGGGAGGGTTTACAAGATGGAATAATGGGTTGAGGTTCTGTTTTGATGAATGAAAACAGAGATGAGTATGAGCAAGGGTCTTTTGTGAATAAATAGAGTTTACAAAGAATGTTGTATTTATCTTCTCTCTTCTCTCCCTCTCTCTCTAAGCCACCCCTTATGTGTTGTGAAAACAATTTATTTATAGATGAAGTTTGGCTGAGATTTAGGGGGGAAACAAATAAGTTTTTGAACTGTTTGGGTATATTGTTCCATTGCTTTTTGATGCAGCTCTTATGTGCTAATTTTGTGCAAATATGGGACTGAGATAATGCAGGCTTAGACTGGGTTGGTAGTAGCATAGTAGGGATGTTTTGTAGCAGCTTTGGAGTGTTGTGGCAGCTTGGTGCAGAGCTGTTTTATAGCAGTACAACAGACTGTTTTTGACATTGTTTTAAGCTTTCTTGGATAGCAACATTTGTAGCGTGATACAAGTTTATTTTGTGGACAGCATAGTGGCAAAGTTTGGACATTGAGTCAAAGGGGAAAAATTCAAACAAAATAAAATCTTAGGATTTGTAATCTTGCAAAAATACCACCATGTAATAACTTGAATTATTTGTAACATCTTGAATTATTTTGAATAATAGTGAAAAGATGTCATGAAGCAATTAACAAGTGTGATACGATAGGAAGAGAACTGACTGTTTTTTTGGAATGCTGGTTTGCGTTTTGCATTTTGTTTTTGCAAAATGTTGCGGTAAGAAAGAGTCGCCACCGTCTTTTATTTTATCCAACAAGGAAAGGAAAAAAGCACAGAAAAATTCCTTTTTCGAGATATTTCTCGGGTTCGGGGGGTAGATTATAGAAAGGGAAGGTGTTAGCACCCTTTCTATCCATGGTTATCCACGGGCTCTTAGGTACTTGCTCAAATTGTTTTCAAAATATTGATTTCTTTGTGCTTGTGGGTTTGAAAAAGTTTTTGTTTGAAAACTTCGATCTAACTCTTGCTTCTGTCCTCAAAAGTGTATGAAGTGTTTTTGAAAACTTTGTTTTAAATGTGTAAGTGTGAAAAGTTTTGTTTTTGAAAGAGCAAGTATCTAAGAACCATCTACCTACTCGAAAAAGGAATCGTTCTATGCTATCTTCCTTTAGACAATGCTAGCCTACTATTGATGAGTAGGTAGCGTCGTCGTTGGAGTTTTAAGGGTCAATTCAATTAAGGGACGTGCGGTCACTAAAGCAATGTTAGGACGCCTTAGTGGTAACCCTAATGTCTTAGATCATTTTTCCGAGGCAACTATGATCTTTGGACAAGAGGGTGGCCTCTAAAACTTCCTATACTCAATGACCGCGTTACGAAGGCAACCAAGTGAGGTGTACCCTAAGAGTGAGCATGCGCGAGTGTGTTGTTTTCAGTTTATTTTATCTCTGTACATGTTAGTGGTTATCTATGTTGATTTTAAGTTAAACATTCGATCTTGTCTTGCATTCCCTATTATCAA